ACGAACAAATGACATGATTCAAGCTTGAATTGCGGACGTACAAACAAAACGCAATACTATTTTTGTTTATATTTGCTAATAAACTTACGATTCTACTTCGTTTTCATTAAAACTCAAAGCCAATTTTAAAAAAAAGTTTCTTTAATTAGTTTCGAATTTGCTGATTTTTGTTAACCATTCGTTCCTTCAAATGTATGTAACATATTTTTTAAACATATATGACAGATTTGTATTCAATAAAAATAGCTAAAATTGGCATTTCCGAAGATGTCAAAATCATTATAAAATCTTCAATTCATCACATTAAAAATTACAAACTTGGCCACATCATAATTAAAGGGTCACAACGTGTTTTCTTCCAGCTGCCGCAATCGCATGTCTGACCTCTCGCTGCTTCGTAACTTCTCGAAATTCTGCACTAGGAGACACTCTTAAAATGGATTTCTTACGCATTATGAATAAAACAAAATTGTAATTTTTTAAAGTAGTTTTTTTTTCAGAACGGTCAAACTATGTTCCTTCGATAATTTTCGGTATAGTCTGGAAACTTTTCAAGTTTGAACCATTTAAAATATTTTAATTGCCTTGATATCATCGGTAACCTAAAGATTTCCCTTTTTATTGAATGCAATTTCAATATGAGATGTTAAAAATAAAAGGTTATAAAACTTTGAACAAAGGAATGTTTCAAAAACCCAGCAAATTCAAAGCGATTTCTAAAATTAAAAAGCTTTTATTTCCGTTAGGTATTATTGGTAGCATTGTATAACTGTGGTTTGTCTACAAAGAAAAACTGAAAAATTAGTATTTTGCTTGTATGCCCTGTTAGACCTTGAATCCTGTCAGTTGTTCCTTGAGACTACGTCCTGCCTGACAAAGATGCTCTTCTAGCCAACATTGAGGCGTAGTAAACTTAATTACATATCATTGATAGTTTAATTAAGACGTTACTTCAAACGATAGTGGAGTTGTGCGTAATGCAGAATAAAAAATGTTTTATTACGCAACGAAGCTTGCCTTTTACAACGTACATCTGACAAGAGTCAAGCTTTAATTGCGGTCAAATAAACAAAATACTATATAATATACTTGTATTTTCCTATAAACCAAAATTGTAACTTGCTACTAATAAATAAATCAAATAAAAAGTTAAGTTTTTGAGCAAATCGAGTTTGAATATGCTCGATTTCCGAAACGCTCGTTCATTCAAGTGAATGTCAAAGAGACAATGTCAATGAGACAATGTCAATGAGACAATGTCAATGAGACAATGTCAAAGAGACAATGTCAATGAGACGTCGTCCTGTCTATTTTCTGTCTCTTCTACGCTTTGATGCTTCTTCTCTATCCCAGTCTCAGGTTATTTTAACATGGTTAATATTCACCAGCTCGCCTGCACCCTTACGATTTTCTCAATGTCAAAGAGTTTATTATGTAACGAAAAAAATATTAAATCTGTATTAACTGTATAAAAACTGAAAAAAAAAAAAATAAACATAGGGGTGGACAGAACAACACCGAGAGAGGTGCTGTTTTGTCCGTCCGTATGTTATTATTTCTGTTTTTATTTAACTTCACCAACGCGCTCCCGTCGAACTATGTATTAACCGAAAAGAGTTAAATTTGAACTTTCCTGCGTTGTCACGATTATTACAATATCCGAAATAGGTGACGCGTCGAAACTCGCCAACCTTTACTGAAAATTATCAGGGGAGGACAGTTAAACATTTCTTTAAAACTATTTCAAACTTTTTTTATATAAAAAATCTATTTTGAGAGTGTCACAACAAATTTTTTTTTTATTTTAAAAAATGAAACAAAAAAGAAAGAAAAAAGATAATGAGAAGTCAAACTCGCAATTTCCGACCTGTGGGAGAAATGTCAGTTTTCGCCTCGACCATTTCAATGGGCAACTACGCACCTACAAAAAAAAAAGATTAATCAAGCTTGCCGCTTGCGCCGTCTTTCATTTCAAGAGTACCTGCAGCTTTTTTTATGCCGCCGGAATGTTGACTTTTCAAGAATGCTCCCAGAAGAGATAATTTTATGGTCAAAATAAAGGAGTGGACCTCAAAAGCGTGTTTGAATTGAGACGAAAAGATACGGCGAGCAAGTGTTCCAAAATGTGCCTTTGGCGCTTTAGAACCCAACGAGGAACACGCCAATCAGAGGTCAACACAGAAAACGGACAGGGAACACGCGATGGCGATGCAGCCAAGCGCGCTCCGTCATCCCTAGAGCTCGGGGGAAACAAATGCAGTAGGTGCACATTGAGCAGACAAACTTGGACGCTCTACGGTGTTCGAGTCAAAATCGTTCGGGGGCGTCGTATTGCTTTACTGTGTTCCACTCTGCCCTGAGAACCTCCTTTCGGAATAACGAGTATAAGGCTCGGGGTTTCTTAAAAATGTCCCTGTTTGTGTATTTGCATTTATACCACGGAAAGAGAATGCCGTCAACGTTCCTCGTGTTTTTGGAAGGCACGCGGAAGCAGCTCACGGCGGCAAAGCGGCAGCCGTGTTACGCGTCCCACAAGCGTGCTCGTGCCGCAGCGGTAGGGGGTGGTCGTTGCCGTCGCGGTGACGCAGGCATGACCAACGCACATTGCGGAAATGTCCGAACAACTAATAACCGAGCAGAACAAGACACGGAACAATAACCAATACGGCTTGCAAGTTCGTCTGCTTTTTGAGGAGTCCAGGTCAAAATGTCCATCGAGTCAAAATGTCCAATATTGGACGTTTTGGCTCTATGAACATTTCGGCTGTATGTGCCCAGTGTTTGGAGCTAGATGCCGAAAAGGGGGGGGGGGGGGGAGCTCAGAAAAAAGTGATAAACGTCTTAAAAAGTGTGAGCGATTTGAAAGAACAAAAAATTTAGCAATACAAAGATGATCACGAACATCTGGTCCCACGAATCACTCACCCCACGCTAATGAATTCGCAGTATACAATTCTAAATTTCGAAAATTCGTTGTAGAAATGCTGCAAATTTATTGCTCTTAAAGATCTAATTCAGAGTATGCCCACGTCTCTGTTTGTCGCTAGGTCGAGATTGAAGGGACCATGAAATGATTTTTAAACTTCTTCCTCCTTAGCTCGAATCGTCAACTCAAAAGCGAAATGAGAAATCACGTGATCGTGACGAGCTTGGACACCGGAGGCGATGTCTCCAAGCTTCCACCGTGCTTTTTAAGCACGCCATCAAACTTGTCATTTTCAAATGACAAACAAATGACGTCACGGCACTCCTTGACCACGAACGCGAATTCCAATATTTGTCGACGGGTGGATTGTTGACGTGCGCATTCGTCCGAGTGACGCAAGGCTCATGCCCAATGCGTGAGCTGGGTTTGGGGGACGTTTTTGGGCCCTGCCCGTGCATCACAGTGAAAAGGCAGAAAGATTTTGAACTAAAGGAAGTCCGAAATAGCCCGCTATATTTTAACATTGTCGTACCGAAAAAAAGGCTTTAGGTTTTGCATGCTTGTGTTAGTTTTATTTTGGTGCACTAAACGATGTCCGATTAGTAAGATCCTAATCTATGCCAACCGAAAATTCATTTCATGGTCCCGTCAAGATAAAGCGCTCTCTTCTGAAAATTTCAACTCCGGTATCGAACTGCTGGAGTTACGTTCTGGCAAGTATTAATTATGTTAGTGCTAAAAAAAAAAAAGGTTTTTATCCGCTCCTAACAGCATAGCTATTTGGAGTACCATTGGTTTAATATGACTAAAAAATGCTACGCGATAACTACGTTTTGTTAGTTAGTTAAAATAATGTAAAGAAGTGAAGACGAAGATTAAAAAAAAAAATAATAAAACTCGAGAATACTTTTTTGGGCTCCAAAAGACGAGCAACAAGTTTCTCACCCCTGTACTAATTTTGAAATTTGGAACATTAATGCGCTCGCTCAGGCTAAAAGTGAACGAGCTGCGCATGATGACGTTTGTAGCAGAAACCTTAAAGGGATAATACAACAAAATTTCGGCGCTAATTTTTTTGTCTATATGTGTTCAAAAAAGCAGTATCACATGGAACATACCAATACCTTGTTAAAAAAAGTCTCGAAAAGGACTTTTAAAACGAATTAAACGATTAGCGAAGAGCACCTGGTGGATGTCGCTAACGCCTCGTTTCTAATGCTCGTCTAAGAACCTTGACAGCTCGTGACGGAGGTTGTCTCGTCTCCGGCCACGACGAGAGAAAGGGGGAAGGAGGAACTCCCCTCTCCCCGATAATCCTTTTTGTGTGTCGCAGAAGTCGCTATTGTCCCCCTAAAAGATTATAGAAGATTAAAGCGTCACTAAAAATTCGTACAAAAGCAGCCGCTTCGGTGGCTGGAACGACTAGGCTATCCTCTCGACGTCAGCCTCGCCGTAGCTTTGCTCGTCTTGAGACGACCTACGTCACGATTACGTTGGATGTCACGTGCTCTAAGCTGGGCCTTCTCCCAGCGCTTGCCAGAGTGGGCCGTTTATAACGAAAAATACAGCCACCAGGCTCAAATACAAACGTGCCATTGTCGTTTACGGATATTGTGGATCATATTCAACCTATGTTTGAACACGACGGGAATATTTCAAATTTCGTTGAAGTATCCCTTTAAAATAGATCGTTATAACAAATGACACATTGTGGCCTGAAGCAACGCTGCACTTCACGACACTACAAGGTCCCCGGACACAACAGAGTACAATAAACTTAAACTTGAACCTCCTGAGTACTGTAGCGGGCGGGTTCGAGCCGAGGCGGCCGACGTGATGGCCAGAGCCGAGGGCCGCGGAGGAAAGAGTGACACAGCTGACGCTCCGAGTGCTCGGACGGAAACGCCCCCGTTTATTCATGCACACCCTTTTTACGTACACCCTAGAGGGCGCCCCGTAGCTCACTGCGCCTACACGCCCTTTACATCCCCCCTTTAGGGAAAACAAATGAGAGTCACACTTAGCTCCCAAAAAAACATAATGAACGACCTAAGCCACATGGTGCGCTACAAGTTCAGCCGCACCGGTGGCCTAACGCAACGTCCAGACCTAGTGCGCACACCCGACGCAGATAGTCTTGAGGGAGCAGAAGGGGTCCCTGTGGCGATGCAACTGGTAGAGAACTAGCTGCCCTGGGAGTGGGACTGCTGCACGCAGGCTCTGGGCGAAGTGGAGACCGTGGTGGACCTTGGGATTCCTGCGGCCCTGGACCAGAGCTGCTAATGTCGCAACCACCCGTTGATGGAGACTGCTGCAGTACCAGATGTCTTCGGTTCGGGACGAGGGCACCTGCATCCGTCTGGACAACGTAGGAGCGTGGACGCTGTACTAGGCTAAGGACTGTGCCAGCATAATAGACCCTTTCCGGAATTCAGTGCCCACTGGTGACTTAAATGGCAGTTTAACTTTTACCGTACTAATGGCGGCAATAAACTTGTGGTCTGCTGTATTTTATGCGGCACCGTCACCTTCACAAGTCAACGGTAAACGAGAACGTGCGCTTCAGTGTGCAGTTTTTTTGCAATCTCTTTCAGTGTCGATGGCGAAAAGGATGCAACTAGTCAGAACGAAGCGTAAACTCACAGAAACGCCCGGATAAAGTTCTATACATCCAGGGGCTTTGAAAACGAGTGTGTGCACTAACAGATTGATTGGGCCCGAGTTAGAAATGGACGCTTACGCAGATCTTGCGTCGGATTCCTGCTTCACGTCGCGCTAACGTCTAGAATATATATTCCTCGAAGCATCTGCTTAGAAGCATCTTCAACCTCTTCCTTCATCAGTAAACAGAAGGCCGCCATTAGTGTAGCACATATGCCAATTTTTCGGATGATGATAGTGATCAAAGTGGCAGGACTGAATTCCGGAAAGGGCCTATTTGCATCGCGTATCCACACTCTATCCCCCTCCCCCAGGGGACCCAAAGCATGCGCAGCATGTTGGCGGTTGAAATCCTGACGCTGGCGACGTCGCTGGGCAGTGTCGCGCCTGTGGAAATCTGCCGCGACAGGCGATCCGGGAACCAACATGGCGGTTGGGACCAGTGTTGCGGAGTTGCCACTCCGGAGTTGGAATGATTCCGCAATCATTCCGCATTTTCGCGACCCCGGAATGGAATGGGAATGGAATGGCGGTACGGTGAGGGGAATGGAATTTGAATGAAATTGGGGGGGGGGGGGGGGGGGGGGTGCCTTTTGCTTGGAATAGAATGGGAATGGAATGGGCACAATGTTTTTTTGTTTTGTTTTTAGTGTTTACGGTCAGCTAAACCGAGCCAGTCAGCGAGTCAATTGCTCAGAAATAAAATGGGCATTAAACTGCTAGCCCGCGTGGAGCCCTAACAGATTTATACGCCAAATAGATGCAATACAAAAAAACAAACGTCAAAGCAAAGAGCAAAGGGGAAAAGGGGGGTAACGTGGCAGCTTTCACAGACGCGCAGGCGTCGGGCTTCGATGGCGTTACACGAGAGCGAAACAAGAAACCAAGCACCAAGCAAAAGAAAATGGAGCGGCAAAGAAAGAAACCGCTATCTACAACTCATCGCCCTTCTTGTCATGCTTTTTTTTGCTGTTGTTGCGACGGTTTGTAGAATGCACGCGCGCGCACAGATTGAGATCCGGGAGCGGAAGCCACTAATTTATAACTCGCAGAGCTCTGATAACTCGTTGACTCGGGCGCCGTCGAGAGATGATCAGGTATTGTTTTCTTATCGTTCGAGGCGCGTTGTTTAGCAGGCAGCCAACCCTGCTGCCTTCCACGTTCATTCGTGCGCACTCCTTTGAAGTGCGAAATGTGGGTTTGCTTCGGCATTAAAACCCCAAAGCGAGATTCGCTTTCCTCTTCTCTTGCGCTTTGCTCCGAAACTTGTAGTTTTTTTTTTTTTTGTGCTGCATTTGTAGTGTGAGTCCGCCTCTTACTTAGTCTTTGTTCCGATGCTTGTTTTCTGTATTATATGTTTTAGTGGTTGGGGTTACAAGCAAGCTAGCGGATTCCCGCTCATTTCCTTTGACTTTAGTCTCTGCATACTTCGTTTCACCTTGCGATGGACCGCTGTGGACAGTATACGAGCCACCCTAGGCAATCCAGCACCGTGAGCGGGACTGCAGGGTCACGCGACACTCAGAAAGAACTGGATTAGTTTCGATGGCTCTCGTGCTGTCTGTTGAGGTCCATCGTGAGATGAAGTAGACTATCGTCACCGCTCTTGGTGTGACCGAACTGACTAGAATTGCAGAAAGATCGTCCCGCGCCAGACGAGGCGCGACCGTTGCTGTGAGGGCAACTGAGAAGGAAAGCTGTGTGCTAGCTGCCACTGAGGTGTTGGCTTCTGCGCGTCTCGGCTGTCCGGTCTCCATGTGTGCTCCTTGTCATGGACCCTGTTTGAGGCGGTGAGAAGTCAGTTGGACGGTGCTGTTGACGAAACACGGGGAATGTCAATTCGAACGGTGCGGTATTACCCTGTTAATTGTATCTTGATGTGAAGAGCTTTGTCAACGCTGACTTCCCGACGCGTCGCCACAAAGCAAACAACCGACACCGAATTAGTAGAATGAATCGGTTGGTACCGTCTGCTGCCTGAACCCGCCACTCGATCAGCGCGAGGAGGAACATCACAATTTGGACGAGAAGACAAGATAAATGCAGATTGAGTCATGGCATCGTAGAAGACATTTTCCTGCATTAGTCGCGAAGAAAATAAACAAGCTGCACGCTGAAAGTTGAGCAACGAAACTATACACGGTGCAGTCGGCGTATATCATCGAACTTTATTCGCCATCTGAAAAGAAAACACGAGAATGAGTATGCGAAGGCTGAAAAAGGGCAGGCGAACCAGCCAAAAATTGAATTGAATATGATAAGAAATATCGAGATTCGTAAAGCAAGCGTGAACTTATGCGTTTTAAAACAGGTTTCGTGACATGGTCTATACGGTCCCTCGTGCTGCTCCGCAGAGGTTGCATTTGGTCAGAGTATGTGTTCTTGCCGCTCTGCATGGAGTCGCTTCTAGCAGTGTACTAGCCGTGTTGCTGTATTTGAAGAATACAGTAATATAGCTTATTCCTGCGCCACGCACGAACTGGATATCTTTATGGTCTTATCAAACAAACACGCTGGCCGCGTATGTCTTAAAAGTCAAAAGCAAAAAAGTTAAAAGAAAAAGAAAAGAAAATGAGTGTATTTAAGTTTTGCTGCTTGTTGCGAGCCACGTGGTCGCGGGACCGATGTCTTAAACAAGCATCGACATATCAAGGGGCTTTCTCGATGTTTGCAGTACATTGTAAATAAACACTTTCTGCCACCAGCGGTCCGCTTAGTAAAACTCAGTTCCTTTTTTTAGGAATTTAGCGTTTTTTTTTTTGTTTTTTTGCAATTGTCTCTGCATTTGATAATGCAGAGACAATTGCTGCTTATGCCGGCAACAAAATGTAGCTGTCAAGTGCCCTTTTTACGTTTAGGAATTAAAGGAATGGAATGGAACGATTCAGCCATTCCAGGAGTGGGAATGGGCTCAGTGTCTCCATTCCTAGGAATTAAAAGGAATTGAATTATGGAAAACTATAATTCCCCGGAATGGAATTGGAATGGAATGGGGGTGTCCATTCCGCAACACAGGTGCAGCACAAGCATGCACAAGGCTGAGGAATAAGTTGCATAAACAGGATCTCGTTTTGGGGGGTGCCGGACTCCAGACTCGCGAAAACAAAAACAATAAAACGGGACACAAACAAACTTGTACGCCGAATGTTCCAGAAGCCCACACGTGTACAAAGGGGCCTCCGCGCGGTAAGCCGCGGTCAGTCTCGCCCCAGCGTCCGATCCTGCTGTTACGCCGACTTCGACGCCGTGGGCTCTGCCGTTATTTTCTGTTCCCTTTTTGTTTTGGGCACAAGTTCGCCCCATTAGACGTTTCAGTTTCCTCAGTTATTCTTTGTTTCCTCACCTCTTCATTCGCCACCATATATTTCGTTAAAAGTACTGATGGCGAATTCGCGTGGTGAATCGCCGGCGAGCCTTTGCCGGTAACCAAAATGGCGCCGACGGCGCACCACGTGACCCTCTCCAACTGAACACAAAGCTCTGGCAACTGGCATTTTCTTTTGCTTGGATCAGGCGTAAGCTTTGTTAGCGTCTTCGAATATCTTATGATAAAATAGGCGCGCTGTATTCATCAGAAATATATATTGGGACTCTGAGATGGGGGCAAACTACACAGAAAGGAGAGGGCATCAAAACTTGCGAAATGCATAAAAAAAATCGATTTGTAAAAAGAGATTATTTATGGTCGCGCGCGCAAAAAAAAGTTGTTGGTGGAGAGATTATATCTTCTCTCGCACACACACAAAAAAAAAGTGTTTGAAAGTCTTGGGTTGGGAAGGGGTGGCTCGTCTTCAAACCAGAAATATAGAATACATGTGACCACCGATGCCCCCAAATCCCGTGACATTCCTTTGTGCTAGAGGTCGAAGTTTAACACTTTGGGGGATTTTTCCTCGGATAAAGAGTGGTAGGATGTGACAGTCTATGCCTGCCTGAGATTAATTGCTTGAGCCGCATTTATCCATTTTGGAGGTTCTCTTCGGACTTAAACGCATTAGGATGTGGCTTAACTCTCAATTGTTAAGTTTAAAGATCTCCTAGTGTCTTCAGCGTGTGCATCTAGAGAAGCTCAAGGGCGGAGAGGATCAGCTCTCCAACGAGCCAGCTGCAAACTAAACAGCCTTCCCGGGCTTTCATTAATGCCCTGGTTGAACGTATTAAACTTATAAATAAAATAAGATTCTTTTTGCTCTCTTTCAATTTTTGTGCTGAAGCCTGATTCCAAAATTACAACAGAAATGTGCTTGATTGAGTGATTAGAAAGAGACAGGAGTTTTGAGAGCGGAAGGTCGGGGAGTGTTTGTGCGTGACATTTGTGGTTGTTAAAGCGTAGTCTGAAAGCCAGATTAGTCTGTCCGACGTACTGTTTATTACAGACACTGCAGTGCAGGAGATAAATCACGTTTGACGTGCCGCAATCGTAGCTACCCCTTATGTTCCACGTGAACTCTGAATTTGTGCTCGTGGCGCTCTTTGTCTCTAACATGTGCTTGCATACTTTACACCTGGGCTTTCGGCATGGTCGGCAACCTAGGTTTGCGGGAGTGGTAGTTTTTGATTTTACTAAGACGTCCCGGAGATTCCTGCCGCGTCGATAGACGACCCGAGGAGCGGCGGGAAAGATTTCTTTGAGGCGGTCGCTCTGTGACAGAAGATTGTAATTTTTGCTCAGTATGTTGTTGATGTTTGGAAGATTGCCTGTATACGTTAAAATAAGGTTAGACTGTCTGCTTTCTTAAGGACGCTCTATCCGGTTGCCAATGATGTCTGAGCGGTCCAGGTTTCTTGCCTTGTTTATAGCGTCATCGAGTACATTTGCTGGATACCACTGCTGGGTTAGTACGCGTTTCAGTTCCTGAGCGTTTTGTTCAAAGTCGTTGTTGTCTGAGCATATGCGCTTAAATCTGTGCGCCTGAGAGTACGGCAGACTAGTCTTACAGTGTCGAGGATGGCAGCTGTTAAAATGGAGGTATTGTTGTCTATCGGTAGGTTTTCTGTAAAGTTTCGTACTTAATTTGTTATTGGCAATTTCCACAGTTACATCCAGGAAGTTTATGCACTTTTGTGACACGCAGTGAGTAAATTTTATCGATGAGTGAGCTAAATTGAAGGCGGGGATAAATTTCATGAGTTCGTCTTCAGCACCGGCCCAGATCGTGAATATGTCGTCGATGTATCTTGTGTAAAACAGCGGTTGAGTGGGGCGTTCAGCGAGAAAGATGGTTTCCAGTTCTGACATAAATATGTTAGCGTAATTTGGCGCCATCCTAGTTTCCATAGCGGTTCCATTGGTCTGCAGGAAGTGCGTATTCTCAAATTCAAAGTGATTGTTCTCCAAAACTAGTTTCATCAGAATTGAAAGGACGTCCCACTCGATGTCAAGTGTGTGCTGAGCGTGTTCATACGCTTCGATCACTGCCGCAATTCC